CATACAGACTGAAGAGCACAGGGGAGAGAAGACCGCCCTGCACAACTGCAGCCCACATGGCACGACGTGCGGACGTGGATGACTGGAAGGACGTTTGAGCACTGTTTGAGAGGTTTGGGCCAGGTATGTAAAGTTCACTGTTACAAGAGCCACACTCAAAGTTATGAACACGTGGTGCATCAACTGCTTCGGTTATTGGCTCACGTATACTGAAGGTAGACGAGATGGTTTTGTTTTACGATAAGCTACAGCAGTGATTTGTGTCTGTGATCGCATGGAGAATGTGTCACTTCACTATCTCAGTAATTCACATTGAAATCAAATTTTAGAACCACGTCGAATGTTCAAAGAATATCGGTACTGTTGAGATAATCCGACAAATAGAAGACGCATCCAGACAGTACCTCATTCTTTATTGACTAAGACACCGTTAGCGTCAGCAAAATTCCCGTTTTAATTATAAGGCTCTGTTTACCATTTCCATCAATGCGTTTCGTACGCAGGAATGGTGTTACCCAGCAAGGGACGATGTCTTGCGCTTGCGCAGACCTCCGCCCTTAGTTAGCTTTTTGGTTCGTTGGTTGGTTGGTCTATTGGTACATTCATCGCTCTGATGAAGGAGGCACTATGACCTCTGAAACGTTGGTTAGCATTGACCAGATCACACAGCACAACAACTCAGAAGGCAGAAATCTTCATATTCACCGCTGTGAAAACCTCAAATCTTACAATATCGTTACTGTTGAGATAATCCGACAAATAAAAGTACCTGATTCTTTATTGACTAAAGTTTTTAAGTTTTCCTCACGTGTGTGTTGAGATGGAATAGTGTGATGCCATAAATGAAATCAAAGATGTTGTCACAACCAACTGTCTCCGGTGAGCAATTGTATAATTTATTTTCGACTCGTGCATACGTTAGAAATCAGACGATGCCCATAATGTTTAAAACCGTTCCTTTCGCACCCAGAGTGCCCGAATTTGTAGACAAAAGATTACTCCCAGTTAATATTAAATGGGAACATTCAGTAGAATGCCAGCGAGACATTTTTGGGCCGACCGTCAGTATCTACTTTGATGACTGAGGAGAAACGCGTCATATTAATTTATGTATATTCAATGTGACTAAAATTATAAATCACAGGACAAAGTTTTGCATCACTAACTCGCGCTGTTGTGTGGGAAGGACCGCGTTAAATCTTGAATTACTTCATGACGCACCTACAACTTTCACCATCACTTTTTAAATTGAATTATTTAATACTAATGCATCACTTTTTAAATTGAATTATTTAATTCTGATAAAATACTTCATAGAGTTTTGAATATGGCTTAGGGCACGATTTAGAATGAAGTTTCGAAGCAAAATCATATTAGGGCCGGGTCTCTATCAGAAGTTCTAATCGGAGAACACGTCTCCCCTTGTTTGAAATCAAGCCGGGAAGTACCTTACCAAAGCTCAATCATGATAATTAGTTTGGTTTGATGTCTGATTCCAAACTTAATCCGAACCTCACGACTGACCCTTCCCAAATAACTACTGTGACATGCGTGTCCAGAAAGGGAGATCTCACGACACCTACTGGGAATTCCAAAAGAGAACTTACAATGTCATTAGCATGCATAATGCCTATTTACAAATTATACATAGGGCAGAAGGTCAACTGTAGCAGCTTAATAGTAAAATTAACACGGCAAGATGGCTACTTAATTATGATTGTACATACACTTTTAAAACTAATTTCAAGAATGTCTTGTATTTCTATTTTGTAAATATTATTACAAAATCGTGTTTTTACTATTGACCCCGTGAAAAAAAACCTATGGAGGTTAATGTACCTGATATGTCATCCTTTCTGCGAAATTAATATAAAATCGGTAAAAATGCTTTCGTTTACGATTTTAATGTTGCTGGGCTCAACTGTAACATGTTACAGACGTCTCAATTATCAATGTTACAATTATCCCCGCGACGTTATTACCGATAAAATACTTACTCTCTTTAACAACACAAAATAAATTACATTTACATTTCTATGCATTAAAAGAGTAATAAATTTAGCATGTTTTGAACATATGGCAATGTACTACAGGCTTACGTGTAATACAATTGAAAGGATCGAAGAAACCAGAAAAATGCTTTCTTGTCGAAAAACACGTCTTTAATATATTGTACGTGAAGATTACATATAAATTTGTGTATGTTTTTCGTGTTGAATTTAAAGTACAGTGTTGCTATAATAATAAAAATAATAATTAAATGCAGTGTAATTAAAATTGTTTTAATGCAGGACCAAGGTGAAGAACCTCGGTGAAGAGAAGAGAGTATCTTCAGAACAGACAAACGAGGAACGTCTTTCAACGGTAACTTCCCAACTTGAAGGGCAGCAGAGGGAGGAAGTGGATGCAGCACACAACTTCAAAAGCTGCGATGTAACAGAAAAGACTAATAAAAAGTTACGGGGTGATCTAACAGCTATTCAGAAGAGGCTGGACGACGTCGAAAAATTCATGTTCGGACTTGGATCAAATAAATGTCCTATGAGACTAAATGAAGTCGGGAAAGTGGATGCTAAAACGGAGCAGGACCTTCTGGAAACCATCAGCAAACTGAAGGAAGCTGTAGAGAGGATCTCTTTCGAAAATGAAACACTGCTAGATAAAATGAGGGAGGTAACAGAGCAGCGTCGCAATGAAGACAAAAATAATGAGGCCATCAAGACACTTAATGAGGCTGTACGCACGTTCAAAACTGATAATTTTATAGATAAAATTTCCGAACTGCAGGAGCAGCACCAGAATGAAAAGAAAGGAAATCAGGAAACCATAAAAAAACTGAATGAAGCTGTAGAGAGGATCTCCTCAGAAAATAAGAAGTTCCTAGTTAAGATGGCAGAACTGGAGGAGAAGCACCACAATGAAAAGAAAGAAAATGAAGAGAACATCAACAGACTGTGTGAGGCTATGGAGATAATTGCTTTAGATAATAAGAAAATGAATGTTAAAATAAAGGACCTGACGAAGCAACGCCATAATGAAACAAACGAAGATCAGGAACATATCGACACAATGGGTGAGCCTGCAGATATGATTTCTTTCACAAATGAGAGAAGACATGTTAACATGGCGGAGAAGAACTGCAGAAAAGTTAAATACAATGATGATATCGTCAACAGGCTGAACAGACTGAATCAGGCTGTAGATAGGATTTCATATGATTACAAGGAGCTGAAGGAGGAAATCGGTTTGTTTCGAAACTGCTTTCAGGATGGCGACATCGCAGTTGCCAAACCTGACGAGGCGGTGTAGCATCTCAATGCCAGTGGACACAGGAAACTCGAGAAGAAGCAGGTAAGTCAAATGAATACTTTCGTATCCCACTTACCGAACACGCTTTATTATTACATCTTGATGTTCGATAACCATAGAAGAAATCATGGCCACCTCCCGTACTCTAGATCCTCCACTGTATTTAATTAATCAACTTCAATGTCTCCCGATTCACTGCTGGATCGGTCTGCAATCAAATCATGATTGAGTAGAAATTGTGCAGTGTCAGTGGGTTGGTCACTCAAACACTAGGAAACCTCCGAAAAGGAGGCGGTAAAAACACTCAGTTGGGTTGTAGAACCAAGAAACAACAACAACAACGAATCCACCACCTACCTTAGGCACCAGATTTTCCTCATCCATCATTTTTCTATCACTGCTCATAGGATATTAGAGTATTATATTGAGGTCATGGAGAATGGACAACCTCCAAAATAAATTTATCCAATTCCGTCCAGTGGGTTGAGTAGCGTTGACTGGACACACGTGATAAGCCCATTATGCATTCTCCATTTGCAGTTCGAGCAAAGAACGCATAACAGTGAGTGGCATTATACAGATTGATTTTGAATGTATGTTTTAATGGCAAAATGAAAAATGAATCTATCTTTTACAGAAAAATTGTGCAACAGACGCCAGCGATCCCTAAGAATTTCACATCCAGAGGGTCACGTTTTGTCAGAGGCCTTTTGGAGAAAATGCCATTAAAACGGTTAACATCAGGGAAGACCATCAAGCAGGACATCATGCAGCATCAGTTCTTCAATGTGAGTTCTTTCCCATGTCTGTTATCACAGAATACTAGGCTGTATGTACATGTTTCACTTCTAAACTCTGCCTTGTACACTAAGAAACTGCCCCAAAACGGCAACGCGTACACAATTTGAGACCCTTCATGCTATTTCTAGATGAATTCATTCTTTCAAAACTTGAGTAAGTGAAAAGTTTGATTTTAATTCCCAGAGAGCAACTCGTGTGTAATAAATGTCATAGGCCAAAGAGTCTGAGGACAGTAAAAGGTTAGGATGAGAGTGCATTATGTACTGTGACATGAAACCTTAAAGGCGTGATGAGGTTTTGTCAAACGTCCCACCCAGCAAATGAAGTATTGTTGAATAACTTAAAGCACAGACTAACATTTATAGCCAAACAGATAACAGCATTTCAAAATTCTTGTACTTTCTGCACAACTGAAGTATACAGGGTAAGTCAAATGTAGCTGCACAACTTTGAAGAACTGTAACAGTGTTACCTAGGCCAAAATGTGCTGATATCACCAGATATCTGTAGGGCGTAACCTAAAGTTTTGTTTGTATGTTGTAGTTCTTTACATTGCCGCTGAGAGCGCTTGTGAATTGCGGTAAACACAATTGAAACTTATCGTGGCGAGGAAAGAGCACAATATGTGTTGTGGTTCGAACAAACGAAGGGTGCAACTCAATATCAGCAAGATGGTGCACCTCTTCACTTCCATACAGATGTCCGAGCATGTTTGGATGTCCACTTCCGAGCTCTGTGGATTGGTCGAGCAGGTCCAATCGCTTGGCCACTTCGTTCACCGGATATCACATCAGCAGATTTTTTCCTGTGGGTACACATTAAGGATCACGTTTACCACCTACCCTTACTCAACGATCTTAGGGAATTACAGAAGAGAATTTGTTGGTTTCCACAAATCACAAGCGCTCTCAGCGGCAATGGGAAAAACTACAACAAAAGTACGAAATTTACGTTACAATCACTTTAAAAATTACATTATACATAGTGATAATACAATAACCCCTGTGTATAGGAATTTGGACTGTTTTCAATGTTTTGTTAATTATTCATTTTTCCATATAGAATTTAAAATATTTTGTATCTCAGGATGTAGTGTTATGCTATCTTCTTCCTGGTTCAGTATTCCCAGAATTAGGTCAGTACCTGGTGATTTATAACTATCAACTTCTGTGCTCATAAACAAGGTACTCTGCATGTAGACAAAATTATTTCCGATGATCAGCTTCTTTTTGGCATATACCATCAACAACTTCCAAGATATTCTGACTATAGAAAATGTCGTGGAATCAACTGGGGATTGGGGCGTCAACCTGTCAAAATACCTCAGCCTACGCTGAACAATACATCTCATAGAACGTGAACACACATCCGTGCATGGAATGGGTTTTGAACCCATTACCAAATTTTTTGAATGTTCACGATTTTCACCATAGGCCACGTAGCCTCTGTCATGCGCTGCTTAGTACACAAATTAATGTTCATATTTCGGGTAAACAAAGAAATCCAATTCTCAACAAACGTTTGCCTATTGGAAATGAGTTTGTCACCATCTGAAATTACGTCTGATTGCCTTACAATCAGATGTACGAAAACATCACGTGATGGAATAACGTTTCCATTGCAGTACAATATTGCCCGAAGTTAAGTTTCGGAAATACAGGGCGTATTTTATGACTGACGTCAGCAGTATACATTTCCTATTATCACGATTGTACTGGGTAGGCAGGCAACCTAACATAACATAACCCAAACTTCCCTTTTCTACCGTCATTAAACAGAATTGGGCGACCTGTAGTTATTCTAGTAACAGAGTGAGACAATGTTTCGGCGTAACAGGGTCATAGCCCATTCCTCAGATGATACATGAGCAATTATGAAGCAGCGGCGTGAGGATATTGACAGTGAAAGACGGAAGGACTCGGAGAAAATTCTGTCCTGGTGCCACTTCGTCCTTCTCAAATTCCACATTAAGTAGCCCAAGCGCAAACCCAGGGTTCCACGTTAACAAGGCCTTTACTAATTCAATGATCTGAGACACAACCTTCAGCTAGAACATAGGAAGAACGGTCTATAATGTAAATAACATTAAAATAAAAGCTTGAAGCCCAGTATCTAATAAGTTGCCTTATTTTCAGGGTAAACTTCGGAGCGAGCGACCTGATCCACGCAGCAGCGTCGAATGACAGAAATGTATTGTCGGTGTCTAGCTTGATCACTGGATTGCTATTGGAAGAACTGGAGCCCACAGGAAGAATGAGAACAACGCGTACCACGACACAGAGGGGCGGAGACCTCTACATTCGACAGAGTCTTTGCTGAGTGTTGGTCAGGATCATGCCCGTCATCGAGTGGGAGCTGCAATGCAGAATTAAAGTGGCCATGAATTGCGACGTCAAGCGGAATTTATTTCTGAAAAAGAAAAATTCTGCTTCGATATTCAACTCCTCATGGGTCCGTCAATGCCTGTCTCTCGTCTGTCAGCCCCACATTCAACACCAATTAAGAATTGTTAATCACGATCCTACGTCTTCCGTCAGCAGGGCTCTTTGTCCCGAGGCCTCTGCCCCATTCAGTTAGCCCCAGTTTGTGTCTTGGCCCTTAGGGCTTGTATGTTTGCTCGTACTTTGCCGGTCTAGCACTCGGGAATAACCTACGAGGAGCAAGCCCCAAGGGCAGAGCCCCAAAGAGAGGCAAGCTGATTGGGGCGAATTTATGGGGATAAACAGCCCTGCCGAGAGAAGCAGCGGCCGAAAGGGAGATACGTAGAAGATGGAGGCAGAGTGCCCTTTCGATACATTGGTATTTGAAATTTCACAGGGCGTTATACAGAAGTGTAGCAGCCATAAAGCCCAAGCGATCCAGGGCACGCCACTGGAGTTCGAGCTCGCTTATACGCCAGTGAATGTATATATATGTATAAAGTGATAATTAGTGGTTCTTGATGAGGACCAAATTGTTCACTGTGTATTTTGAGACATGGCGTCATCACATCCTGTAACATGGCTTCAAGATATTCGTGTCAATTTCTAATCCAAGGACAAATAAAAGACGTACTAACAATTGTGGCCTCTAACTTTTTATCGTTCAAACGGGCCCCTTGCCCGAACCTGCCACATAAGTCTACACTGACAAAAATATTGCATTACAATAAAAAACCGAAGTTACGTGGCATACGCCATTTGTCTCTCATATTTGATTTTTTTCTGCGTTTAGTAATCTATTATAAAAATTCGTGATTTGTCGTGTTTGTCAACTAATTTGTAGCCAACCAATTTATCTTCAAGAAATGACGTCATCAAACAGTGTTACTTTTTAAAAAAATGCAATAGGAATTATATTATTCTTTGCGGCGATAACGGTTTGGAGTGTCATTTTGATAAGAACTTATTACATAAATAGTGTTAAATGTTATAGTTCTACATGCTGTTAAATTTCATTCTGTACAAACAATTTGGGGTGAGTGCATACCTATTGGAACAGCTCGTTGAACAGCCCGTTTACGGACAACCACGAGGAAAACATTCTTTCGTGAGTTCTGTGACGTGTAACAGTAATTTTTGTGAAGTCAGAGTTATCAAGTAACAGTTTCTGTGTTCGCGAAGCCTGGTGACTTGTGTGTTTATATTTAAGTTACAGCAGTGTATATATTAGAATAAAATTAAGTGTTTTGTAAGAACACATTCAAGATGGCTGATAATTCGTTTGTAAAACATAAAAGAAGTAAACCTCTTACAAGCGGTGAAAAAAGGTGTGTCCTTTACCCGCTCAATAATAAGTGCCAGGATAATTCAGAAATGATATCTCAAGTTACAGGAATAGGGAAGTCTAGCGTGTAAAGAATCCGAAGAAATTCGAAAGCTGGTAATAACAGACTAGCCTGGGAAGAATTCGCAACATTACTTGTTTTTTGAAAAATGTATGACGATTTAACGAAATCAGCAATTCGGGTGAAAGTACGTGGTTTCTTTTTCACAATGAACTGCAAACGCTGAATAAATTCTTGGATGTTGTGAACAGTGATGCTGTATCGGTTACTGAAGTTTCTGAGATTCGAGTATATTTCCACAAAAATCGACTGCTTTCTAGTCGACAAAGACGATATTGTGCTGTGGCGCAGAAAATACCTCCAAATAAATAAGCAATTCAGAGCCGAAGGATGGACAATTTATTACCGGGACGAGACACGGATCAATGCAGGTCACACCTTTCAAAACGTTCTAAAAGATGAAACAGTGGGATCACGAAGAAGCTAATGAATGATAGCAGCATATGTTTGCAGGACAGACAGTAACATTGCTACCACGTGTTTCAAAAGAAGTGGGAGGAGAGAAGAATTTGTCTTGACCGCCTCTCATCTTAGTTGGAATAGCCTATAATCAATAAATAATAGGCATGTTATAACACATTTTACATCATCTCAGATAAAAATAATAAGGAAAATATTTCCAACAAAAGTCCAGTAAAATAAAATAAAAATTATTGCATATAAGGGCTCAGTAAACATAACTATTCAGCTATTGTAATTGAAATAATCAAATCAGTAAGGACGGACATGTAGAACGCATGTGGTGATCAGAAATTACAAGAATTGGGCTAAAAATCCCAGGGAGAGAAGACCGTTAGTAAGATCAAGGCGTGATGGCATGTTAAAATTAAAATAATTATTAGTCTAGTAAGTTAGGGTGGTGTGGATTGGATTAACCTGCCTCAGAAAGGGATCCTTGGCTGTCGCTTTTATACACGGCAATGTTCCATCGGGTTCCATAAAATCCTGAAAATTATATGCCAAAATTCTGCTCCGAATGGTCAATGCGCAAGTCTTGACTACAGCTGCACATTTAATCAAGAAATTGTTAAAACCCTCGGTGGAAGGAAAAGCACCTTAACTAATTCCATGTATTATGTTTAATTTGATCACTAAACAAAGTAAATGGTCAGAACAAAAAAACAAAGAAATGTATGAAGATATCTGTCTTCTGGGTTGTTGCGCTGTGTAGTCTGGTCGATGATAACCAACGTTTCGGAGGTCATACTGCCTCCGTCATCAGGGCGATGAGTATGAAGATTTCTGTCTTCTGGGTTGTTGCGCTGTGTAGTCTGGTCGATGTTTACCAACGTTTCAGAGGTCATACTGCCTCCATCATCAGGGCGATGAGTATGAAGATTTCTGTCTTCTGGGTTGTTGCGCTGTGTAGTCTGGTCGATGTTTACCAACGTTTCGGAGGTCATACCGCCTCCGTCATCAGGGCGTGTCTTATTATAGTGTTAATAGTTGTTGGTTTGCATACTCTATATTCTAATACACTACACAGTATTTAAAGTTTTAACATTAAGAGAAGATTTATAGTTCCATGTAACATTAAACAAAGTCTTTTTGTGTTTTATGACTTGGACCAATCATATGTTGATATATCATTTCTTCTGGCAGCAATGTTGTCTAATCACATTTTATAGAATTAAAAATCTTGATTAAAAGTGTATGTTGTTTGTAATTAAACTAAATCTTGGTTTCTGAATTCTAAATACTTGCTGCTTCGCTGTTGCCAGTATTTGTTTCTAATTTTTTTGTCCAGTTTAGTGTAGGTGCCTAATTAGTCTGGAGATTTATTTTTATTTTGTGAAAAAGTTTTGTAATATTTCTCTTGTCCCTTTTCTGCAGATACAAGTTTAGAGTTAGCTGAATCAAAGAAGAAAGTACAAGAATTGGAAGAATTGTGTGTTTCTCAGAACTTGGAAGTGAGTACAGATTGTTTACTTCATAATATTGTTCAGAATTTAGAAGAACCAATACATGGTTCCTCAGATTTCTTTTTTACATTGTAACTCAGTTTAATTTACTTTAGTTCAAGAACCCATGTATATATTCAGGAGATCTTGTGTTTAAATCTCAGCCTGGAGACCAGTTTTCCTGACTGATTTTTTTTTATGGTTTTCCACAGACAAATATTGAACCATGACTTCTACCATACCATTTCCAGTTAAAGATTCTTCAATAATCTTATCATTTGATGCTGTGTAGTCTGAGCTACTGACAGTGTACTTAAATGAACCACATATATATATATATGTATATGGCCTAAACAAATTATACCATTATAACAAAATTAAGATATATATGAGATGTTTATTTGCCTCTAATTTTTACCTAGTTTGGATTTTGGAACACACACAGTGTTACATGCATATCAAATTTGCCATTAAGTCTGTTTGTTCCTTTCTGTTGTTTTTAATTATGCCAACATTAAAAACTCTAGTTCACATATAAACTTTGAATGGCTGCTGTGCCAAAAACACACCCTTCAAATATAGGTTGTTATGAATCTCAGCTCAGAAACTGGCTATCCTGACTAAATTTGTTTTTGTGTGTGTGATTTTCATCAGTATCCCCAGTCAAATGTCGGGATAGCACATTGAATTAGGCCACCACTGCCTCCTTCTACAATCTTTCCAATACATTATTCACATCTGACATTTCTTGGTCTAGTTTCTGAAAGTGTTGTTAAATGAACCGTAAAGAAATAAACAAACAGCAGATGCACAATAATCTTTTAATGTGACTGCGCATGACCTCCAGTTGAAAACAACTGCATTTTTCAATAGAATTACAGTTTCTAGTTTTATGAATCTGATTTCTTGAAATTGGTTTCCTCTATGCATAACCTGCGTAAGAGATACTAGCCTAATATAGCCTGTCAGAGTTAGCAGAAATTGACCTTTTTTTTTGTGTTGGAGAGTAATACAGTTTATTGCAGCATTATCTTTGCAAGTTTAGGAAGTAAATTAAATGTAAAAATATATTGGTGACAGCTGAAGCCAGATTCTTGCAAATGATACACCAACACTAAACTGATCACGTGAATCCGGACTTTCACCAAACACAGACTCTGTCATGCCCCATTATAGCTGCCACCCTAGCCTCATTTGCATTTCTTGGTATAACAGTTGCCACCTTTAGAATGTGTTTTAATTTTTTCTGCTTTACATGAACAGCACACTCTTGCAGTCAGGTGTTGACAGACGGTGACTGTTGTACTAGGAGTAGCAGATAGACAGTTACTAAGTCCAGTGACTAAGTTTCTGGCCCTGGGATATTTTAATGGAAGGGGTTTTTAAATGGCAGTGAACCATGCTTATACAACCAAAGTGTTTTAATATATTTTATTATAATAGACACAGTAAAGACAATGTGTTTATTCAAGAGGGTAATATGAAGATGTCTGTCTTCTGGGTTGTTGCGCTGTGTAGTCTGGTCGATGTTTACCAACGTTTCAGAGGTCATACTGCCTCCGTCATCAGGGCGATGAGTATGAAGAATTCTGTCTTCTGGTTTTTTGCGTTGTGTAGTCTGGTCTATGTTAACCAATGTTTCAGAGGTCATACTGCCTCCATTATCAGGGCAAATTAATACTACACAGCGCAACAACCCAGAAGACGGAAATTTTCATACTCACCGCTGTGAGAACCTCAAGTCTTAGAAAGGAATGTATGTTACAATGAAACAAAATGTTTTCATTTTCCTCTTAACTACCATCAATTACAACAATGTACACATTGCAGTTGGCTACAATGGAACATCACTGTAAAGACGAAGTCAAGAAACATCTTGTCTCTCAACAATAGAAATCAACTTACCTGTGATCTTCAACTGTTTGAAAACAACAACTCCAGTTTCCATAGAAATGCGTAGTTTACAATCCGCAGCGATTACTGAAGTGGAAGTCAACATACTTTTATTAATCTGTTTCATCATAATGTTTAAGTTAACGAAAAAAATTTTGAGACAATCCGCACAGAGTCCTGTAAGTAAAAAGGAACCTGAAGCCTTCGGCTACAGTAACACATTTAGTAGGATTCCTAGTCAAGATAAGCTGTCTAAAGTCAACACAATTCAATCGTATCTTTATTATTTATATTATTAATATTATTATTGTTGATAGTATTAGTGGCGGTACATATTAGAGCAAGGATAGAACTTTGACTTTCCTAAGCATTATACAAAGCAAAATCTTCTTCAGGTACTAAGACCAAGCTTTGAGTGGTATGTTATATGGATATGTATAGTGATACATTTATGATTAATTATGCTAACTGACGCTAGGATCCGTGCGTCGGTTTACAGGAGCTTTAGATACACTGCAGTAGATGTGTGCTTAAGTACAACTAAGTAGAATACCTCTCAATTCTAGGATTGAAGAGTTAAATGAAACAGTTATAAAGCTGAAGATTACCGTCTTGAGGGATGTTAGGCCGTATAATGCGGTAGAATTTGACGAAGGCATCGGTGGTGCCTAATGAGACCACTGAAATCGACCTGGTGATGGAGGCAGTAACCATATCTGGAACGCTGGTCCAATTCTACCAGTCTATAAGGAGAAACATCCCAAAAAGATAGTCATTATCATGTCTGACTCTGTGTGAAATTAAAATCTCGTCTAGTTAGAAAACTAAATTTCTGGCGTTAATAGGAACTTTGTAAGTTTGACCGATTAATACTTTTACATTTTCGTTAAGAACTCAAGTGAACCGTGCCTGAAAGTAATGGATTATTTACGCAAAATTTTAGTATCCACTGCTGAAATGCTTTAGACAGATTACTTACACAAAGGCCTGTAATAACATTTTATGTATCTGACCCATCCAGAGTTTAGAATTTCCTTTAATTTTATAATCTCGTGTAACTAGACATTTTAACTTTAGTGTAAAATAAATAATGACCAAACACACAAAATTTCCCTGCTTACACTTCGTCAAAATTTCAGCCTTTTAACTGACGTGACTTTTCATGCTAATACCGAGATCCATTCCACATTATTCTATTGCAGTGTAGCTTAAACTCCAATAAAAACCGAGGCGTGGATCCCAGCGACAATTAGCGAATTTAAACAATTGCACCTTCACTTGCGATGACACCTCACAAACCAATATTTTGTACGCCGTAACGGGAAAATTTCAGGATAAGTGTTCATTTTTGTAACGGTAGAGACGCCGTGAGTACTGTAACATTGTCAGTGTTATGACGGGACATCCGATTTGCCAGGGTTTAGTGAATCGCATCTTCTCTCTTCCAGGAACGTTCGAAACGTGACAAGGAAAGCGAGAATGCCAAGGGAGAAGAGAGCGACGGGGGCACCAAGGCCAGGTATGTAAAGTTCACTGTTACAAGAGCCACACTCAAAGTTATGAACACGTGGTGCATCAACTGCTTCGGTTATTGGCTCACGTATACTGAAGGTAGACGAGATGGTTTTGTTTTACGATAAGCTACAGCAGTGATTTGTGTCTGTGATCGCATGGAGAATGTGTCACTTCACTATCTCAGTAATTCACATTGAAATCAAATTTTAGAACCACGTCGAATGTTCAAAGAATATCGGTACTGTTGAGATAATCCGACAAATAGAAGACGCATCCAGACAGTACCTCATTCTTTATTGACTAAGACACCGTTAGCGTCAGCAAAATTCCCGTTTTAATTATAAGGCTCTGTTTACCATTTCCATCAATGCGTTTCGTACGCAGGAATGGTGTTACCCAGCAAGGGACGATGTCTTGCGCTTGCGCAGACCTCCGCCCTTAGTTAGCTTTTTGGTTCGTTGGTTGGTTGGTCTATTGGTACATTCATCGCTCTGATGAAGGAGGCACTATGACCTCTGAAACGTTGTTTAGCATTGACCAGATCACACAGCACAACAACTCAGAAGGCAGAAATCTTCATATTCACCGCTGTGAAAACCTCAAATCTTACAATATCGTTACTGTTGAGATAATCCGACAAATAAAAGTACCTGATTCTTTATTGACTAAAGTTTTTAAGTTTTCCTCACGTGTGTGTTGAGATGGAATAGTGTGATGCCATAAATGAAATCAAAGATGTTGTCACAACCAACTGTCTCCGGTGAGCAATTGTATAATTTATTTTCGACTCGTGCATACGTTAGAAATCAGACGATGCCCATAATGTTTAAAACCGTTCCTTTCGCACCCAGAGTGCCCGAATTTGTAGACAAAAGATTACTCCCAGTTAATATTAAATGGGAACATTCAGTAGAATGCCAGCGAGACATTTTTGGGCCGACCGTCAGTATCTACTTTGATGACTGAGGAGAAACGCGTCATATTAATTTATGTATATTCAATGTGACTAAAATTATAAATCACAGGACAAAGTTTTGCATCACTAACTCGCGCTGTTGTGTGGGAAGGACCGCGTTAAATCTTGAATTACTTCATGACGCACCTACAACTTTCACCATCACTTTTTAAATTGAATTATTTAATTCTGATAAAATACTTCATAGAGTTTTGAATATGGCTTAGGGCACGATTTAGAATGAAGGTTCGAAGCAAAATCATATTAGGGCCGGGTCTCTATCAGAAGTTCTAATCGGAGAACACGTCTCCCCTTGTTTGAAATCAAGCCGGGAAGTACCTTACCAAAGCTCAATCATGATAATTAGTTTGGTTTGATGTCTGATTCCAAACTTAATCCGAACCTCACGACTGACCCTTCCCAAATAACTACTGTGACATGCGTGTCCAGAAAGGGAGATCTCACGACACCTACTGGGAATTCCAAAAGAGAACTTACAATGTCATTAGCATAAATAACACCTATTTACAAATTATTCATAGGTGAGGTCAGCTGTAGCAGCTTAATAGTAAAATTTACAAGGCAAGATGTCTACTCTGTTGAGATTGTACATGCGCAATTACAACTAGTTTAATGACTTTCTTGTATTTGTATTTTGTATACGTAATTTTGCATTTGACCCCGTGAACAAGATCTTTGTAGTTGAATGTAACTGATCTGTCATCGTTTATGCCAAATTAAGATAAAATCTTTCATATTTACGATTTTAGAGTTTCTGGGAACATTTGTAACATGTTACAGACATCCATTTTATCAATGTTACAATTATATCCTCAACTTTATTACCGACAATATGTTTACTCATTTTAACAACACAAAATAAATGACATTTAAATTTCTACGCATTAAAAGAGTAATAAATTTAGCATGTTTTGAACATATGGCAATGTACTACAGGCTTACGTGTAATACAATTGAAAGGATCGAAGAAAGAATAAAAATGGTTTCTTGTCGAAACACACGTCTGTAAAATATATAGTGATGTACGTAAAGAGCACATATATGGGAGACGAGGGCAGAACGGGGAACTTAATCTTTGGAGGCACATTAATAAAGTTAAACATATGGAGGATTCTTGCGTGTATTATTTGTCTATTTGATATTTATAATGAGCCATTAGTTTAGTTCTAAGAGTTACAGTTTCTTAAATATTAATTTTTCTACAAGAATATACCTTATCCCTTTCAGCCCCGTGCCAAGGACAAGACGCAATACGGTTGACATATGTTTGAAGAGTTGTAAGAAGACACGAATTATCTAATGAATATGACGTAGGATATAAAAATGATTTAGTATACAATGTAAAATGTCGAAATATTACAAATTTGATATCTAATTAGGCCTAACACACACGGCACACATGTGCACCTCTTCATCATCGTGACTATCTGCACTTTCACTTGAGTTATGGGCCCCTTTCAAGCAACACGAATACCGGATCCACCCTTCAATAGACTGCGGATAGACATCGCCACAATACAGGCACTTATCGTTTTATCCTCTTCTCTGTTTACCCCATTCAGCCCTATCCCATCCTGCCCCGTGTTTACTCTTTCAAATTAGGATTGCCCCAACAAAAATTACAGCATGAGTGATTATTTCATAAACTGTATCCACAAAATGGCGCTGACTGACATGACATGACCTTGTGCTCTATGCTAATGATATTTCACCCTGTCCCGATAGATCTCAACGAATTGCAGTCGATATAAAGCCGATACCCCGTTCTGCCCTGGTCTCCCCTAAATTTTTTTTCGTGTTGAATTTAAAGTACAGTGTTGCTATAATAATAAAAATAATAATTAAATGCAGTGTAATTAAAATTGTTTTAATGCAGGACCAAGGTGAAGAACCTCGGTGAAGAGAAGAGAGTATCTTCAGAACAGACAAACGAGGAACGTCTTTCAACGGTAACTTCCCAACTTGAAGGGCAGCAGAGGGAGGAAGTGGATGCAGCACACAACTTCAAAAGCTGCGATGTAACAGAAAAGACTAATAAAAAGTTACGGGGTGATCTAACAGCTATTCAGAAGAGGCTGGACGACGTCGAAAAATTCATGTTCGGACTTGGATCAAATAAATGTCCTATGAGACTAAATGAAGTCGGGAAAGTGGATGCTAAAACGGAGCAGGACCTTCTGGAAACCATCAGCAAACTGAAGGAAGCTGTAGAGAGGATCTCTTTCGAAAATGAAACACTGCTAGATAAAATGAGGGAGGTAACAGAGCAGCGTCGCAATGAAGACAAAAATAATGAGGCCATCAAGACACTTAATGAGGCTGTACGCACGTTCAAAACTGATAATTTTATAGATAAAATTTCCGAACTGCAGGAGCAGCACCAGAATGAAAAGAAAGGAAATCAGGAAACCATAAAAAAACTGAATGAAGCTGTAGAGAGGATCTCCTCAGAAAATAAGAAGTTCCTAGTTAAGATGGCAGAACTGGAGGAGAAGCACCACAATGAAAAGAAAGAAAATGAAGAGAACATCAACAGACTGTGTGAGGCTATGGAGATAATTGCTTTAGATAATAAGAAAATGAATGTTAAAATAAAGGACCTGACGAAGCAACGCCATAATGAAACAAACGAAGATCAGGAACATATCGACACAATGGGTGAGGCTGCAGATATGATTTCTTTCACAAATGAGAGAAGACATGTTAACATGGCGGAGACGAACTGCAGAAAAGTTAAATACAATGATGATATCGTCAACAGGCTGAACAGACTGAATCAGGCTGTAGATAGGATTTCATATGATTACAAGGAGCTGAAGGAGGAAATCGGTTTGTTTCGAAACTGCTTTCAGGATGGCGACATCGCAGTTGCCAAACCTGACGAGGCGGTGTAGCATCTCAATGCCAGTGGACACAGGAAACTCGAGAAGAAGCAGGTAAGTCAAATGAATACTTTCGTATCCCACTTACCGAACACGCTTTATTATTACATCTTGATGTTCGATAACCATAGAAGAAATCATGGCCACCTCCCGTACTCTAGATCTCTCACTGTGTTTAATTAATAAACTTCAATGGATTAAAGACACAATTTTTGCATGCGTTCGAAACCCTGCTGAGAGCTCGTTACAATCACAGAGCCTATCTGTGAGCTCAAACGAAACAACTCTGGTTCTATGGAGATCGTTACTTGGGAGTCCTCTAGCGGATAGTCGCGTATATTAGGACTCAAAAATGGCGAGCGTTCAGTTTCTCTGTCGTCGATAACCTCACTTAATGGGCATTTAACAAACCAGTCGTTGACATGCTGAGCGTAAATAAATCTTTCGGAATAATTATTATTTTTCTACTGTACAATTCACATTGAAAGTTTTCTTCACTCCTCGGACATGCAATTTGTCAGAATCTAAAGCGGCTATCATAACTTTTCTCTTCCAGGATCGTGAGAGCTCTGACCAGCTGGATAGTCAAGACACCGAGAGCATCGAGGACGACAGCGACTGGGACGAGGACGCCGTCAATGACGATGAACCAATGCGGACAATGTACATGCCGCTTTCAAATGAACCGTCAGTTTATACCACTGAAGGGGTCAATCCACAAAGCCCCCAAGGTATGCGACAAAACCTGTTATCACTTTACGTTGCTTTCTTTTAAGAAACAAGTTTTCCTTGAACTGCTTTGGCTTCATTTGAATCATGGGAGACAGGCAGCAGGACGTTTGACCTTGGACAGAGTTACTCCTGAAGGGAAGTGCAAATGGTACGCATCTGAGCCACCTGAATTTGTAGTCCGTTTAAAAAGTAAAATGATCCCGTTACATGCCAATGTTGACACTTAGAAGGTTTGAGTCATGACTCCTATTCAGTCTGAACCTCGGCACTAGATACGGGAGAGCGGTTAGCGTCACGCTCCGGCCGTGCTTTACCCCCGGGAAAAGACCTGAGTACCCAGTGGTCAAGAGGCTCGGTGGGCCCCAGAGCCGGTCTGGACGCAGACGCTAGAAGGATAAATCCTCTGCTCTTATCTGAGCTACCAGGCTCACTTATAGTCTGTCCATTCATCTATTCATTTGTGATTTATTTAAATAAAACCTCAAATCCTGTATTATCTTCGCCACATTTTCAAATCGTATTTTATTAGTGACCCTTATTCAATGATTTTGTTTCGTAGAGAAATTCACAGTATTTTCTTATTTTACTTCTAGACCATTTTCCTCCCCTGCATCTAATAGATAGCAACTGTATTGTACTCTACGATGTTTACGTTTTCAAACATTAAATTGACATAAGCTGCACTGACCAGGAGCTGATGTGACCCATTCAAATTCAGTCCCCCTGTGTTTCTTTTCTGACACTCTGAATGTCCCTGTCAGACTAGTTAGGCAACCGGAATTTCTAGAACTGATTGATTATCCTTAATTAACATTAACGAGATTAGAAAGGCTATTGCAGTATCAGCATTTGGAACCGGTCTACTTTCTATGAAAAAGATTTGAGGTTATCACAGAGGGGAATAAGAAGATGACAGACGTCGTGTAGTCTCGTAAAAGCTGACCTAAGTTTCAGAGGCATTTTTCGACAATGCTTATCTCGTTCCGCCCATGTAAAAAAACCACAAATGCACAAGTGATCCCTTCCGAATGTTTCCACAGCTGTTCAGATGGCACCCACGATCTGTCAGTGCCGATCTTAACCCTTCTTCTCATATATTGGTCCGATCTACTCCTAACCAACGGATTTAAATTAGGCCGAAAGCATATTTTAATAACAAAATTCTGCCAGGCCTGACACATTAGTCGTCATGACAGCAGACGTCCCATTACAAACCAATAATAAAGATTAGGATGGTGCACGAAATGTTACCCGATTGAAAGTTTAAATAAAGGCTTTAACATTCATATAATGGGACATATATATCTATGAACACAAAAGAAACAATTCGTGGAGATTTATCCTTTATGGCTTACATGCTCAATATGACCACCGTTCTGTCGTGCAACTTCCGAAACACGAACGGCTACGTTCGTGATTACTCGATGGCACATATCCTCCGTAATTTCACCATACATTTGAACAATCAAAGCCCTGAGTTGCATGATTGAGGCTGGTTTTTTTTGGAAACAGTTTTCCCTTAAGTCGCAGGGGTTTATGTCCGGGCTATTGGGTGGCCAGTTCTGTCCACATCCGTGGGAAATCACACGTGTACCGAAAGTATCGTGCAGGAAATCCTAGACAACGTTTGCTGTGTGTGGTGTAGCCCAATCTTGCATAAACCACTGTGTATTTAACGGCAAACCGGGCTTCTTTGCATGGCTACTCTGACAGCTTCAATGTTCTGTGGGCTACGCACACGTTTCTTTTCCAACACTTTACCACCCTGTTGAAACTGCTGATGAAGTCTGAATAGTTTTTGAAGAAGGGGCCCACCGCGTACCAAAATGGGCATGAAACCGTCTCTGCGTTTCCACAACACTTTTTGTTTCCACAAAAAACAAAAGTCTTCCCTAGTCTGCTATCTTCTGCATACTGGCGGGAAACCGCGACATAATCACCTCGCGTTAGCTAGGTCATGCATATACCACCTAATGGTATCTCCATGAACTACTGCACTTACCCACATGACCGAAAACTTCATCCGTAACGTGGTTGCTGATTTATCGTTATAACAAATAGGCCATCATTTCGTGCCCCACTCTGTATATATGCACACACGGCAAAATTTAAAGAACAAAAAAGTGCACAAAAGTCATACCTACCAAAATTTAATATTTCGGAAAGAATAACGCCATTTGAGGTGGCATTCGTCAGTAACTATAGTGGACACAGTTCATACAGGTGAATTACGTGTTTTACTGTGAGTAAAATGGATGTAAGTTGTTTAGATTATGCCTGTATTTATGATATTTTGTTTCAGTGCTCATCGTCCCACTGTTAGGCGACTTCAAACCCTTGAAACTTTTAGGAAGTGGCGGTAAGTAAAATTCTGTGTTAACAGGCGTATTAACTGCGCATTTCTCTGCTTATAAAACATGAAGCGTTGGTATTTGATCTCTGGATCCATGGCTAAATAGATACAGTAGCAGCAGGATCGGAGACAGAACAAATGGAGAACACAGATGAGCACAGATGAGTATAAAATGGCGTGTTAGGTGTTGTCGTGTGTAGGTCTGAGGTACAAAGTTTCCAACAGAAAGCGGTATTCAGTTTAGAGGCATTCGTTCAATCGCCATGGATATATTTTCTTTGTTTCCTTTATTACAGTGGTGTTTTACTGAAAGCCCCGTAAGTACTATATTCTATATATTAGAAATCTTTATTACTTTACCAAAAATAATTTAGTTTCAACACTTTGTAATACATATGAATGTTGAATTTCGTAATTAGATTAAGATGTTATTTGGTTTCAATCAGTGCATTCCGGGCAATAAGAACCACCTGCGGCTGCTATTGCTCCAATGCTGGAACATTTCATTATCAAATGTTGGTTTACATAGCAGCTGCCAACTCCTGCATATTTTATTGCAATTTTCTGAAATGGCAGTCTTTAGTTTTGAAGACTCCTCGAAACTGAAAACGGAACTATTCATAAGGCTGCTTGGGGGGACAATTCAAAAGCGGATGCCAAGACTTTTAGTTTAAGCTAGAGTGTCTGTTCACAGAGCAGCAACGT